TGACATTTTCTAACCTGAATACTGATTGTTTCGTGCACTCTTTATGTTTTTAGTATGAAAACCACAAAGTTGCGTATTGGAAGTGTCATCCAGCAGGAATCGGTGTTCTCTCTGTGTTCTGTGTCCATCTTTATCAGCACATTGTTGGTTTTGTTCAACCTTAATCTCATAAAAAAACACACCAGAAATGAGGTGTTTGTGGCTGTGAGATTCCAGCTGCCACTTTTTGAAACAGCAGCTGGCACTGGGAGAGGAAGAGGAGGAGATGAGGAACAGGAGAGATGGAGGGAGGAGAGGATTTTTTTGTGTTTTTTTTTTTTATGTCTTTCATTCTTCACACTCCCATCCACCAACTCTTCTTATATCCCGTCACCACAACAAATCCCCAACTCATTTTCATCAGTTTTTTAATAAAAACTGAGACGAATAAGAAGGTTGTGGAACGAAAGAGGAGGAGGAGGAGGAGGAGGAGGAGGAGGAGTGGTGGTGGTGTTGGTCATTTATGGATCTTAATGGGCTCATCTAAATGTAAATGAGCACTGAGGTGGAGACAGGATGTCTGTCTGTCTGTCTGTCTGTCTGTCTGCTGGGAGAGCAAAATATTTAGAAAAGAGGCAATTTGTGTTTTCAGTTCACTTCAGTTCACTTCAGTGTCTGCGTTAATGGCAAAAAAGTGTCCAGACTGAGGAACCAGAAGGTGTTGTGAGCATTATTTTAACATCAGTAACTGTTGATAACATCAGTTTTACAGGAAATAACTGAGACCACCAAGGTAAAAACAGATTTTTGAGTCAGATTTGGAAGACAATCTGGTTTCTTTATGGTACAAAAACATGATTTTCACTCTAGAGTTGAGCTGATTAGTGATTGTTGATTATTGTAGTGACTGTTTCATTAGTCAGTTGACAGAAGATGAACTGTGAAGCCATTTTTCAAGCAAAAATGTTTAATATTCTGTTTCCAGCTTCTGATTTGTACCAGTTTGTTGTTTTTCTTTGTCTTGTGTGATAGTAAATTGAATATCTTAAAGCTTTTGTCGGACTAAACAAGCAGTCTGAAGACATCACCTTGAGCTTTGAGGAATTGTGACCATTTCCACTATTTTCAGACTTTTTATGAAGTAATTCATCAGTTAAACACAAATAATCCGCGTACAGAGAGAGGAAGTATTAAAAGCAGCACCATTGTCATTTCTTACAGGGGCATTTACATTTTTATTACATTACATTTATTCACACATTTCATCATTGATTAATCAGTTAATTTATTTGCTTCATTAATTGTTTGGGCTATAAAATATCAGGATAAAATCTCAAAGTCCTTTTTTGCAACACCCAAACAAATGGGTATCATGGAAAACTGAGAAAACCAGGAAATAATATTACAAAATGTCTCGCCATTTTGACTTAAAAACATAAACCTTTATTAAATTATCAAATAATTAATTGACATATTCACATACATCACATACAACTATACATTAAAAGACAAACACAGACTGTAAAATGGGTTAAAAAACAGACAAACAATAAATTAATGAATAAATGAGATCATTTGATGAAAAGAAGTGCCTCATAAAGGAGTATTGCATTGGTGGAGGATGGGTAAATAGATAAAGAGAGAAGAGAGAGGGAGTGATTGTGAGCCCCTGCCATTGGCTGAAGGATTTAATTAATGGACTCGTTGCGACTAGTTTCTGCTTCATGTTTTATAAGTTTTAAATCCGATTAATGCTGCGATGGGCAAATACAGTTGATGAAGGGGGAAACGGTCATGTTTTTTTTTTTGTTTCACAGGAAAAAGTGAGACAGCAGCGGAGTGTTTATATGTGTTAGATGTATTATACTGTTATTAATATAATATCTGCAGAAACTGACGGGTTTAACTTACAGTTTGATGAGTCTGCTGTCGCCAGCTGCTCTGTTAGCGGGTCAAACAGGGATTTGGTTTGTTTATATCCACCCACCACTGCAGATACAACCACCCATGGTCAGAATGTGTGTGTGTGTGTTTATAGGTGTGTGTGTGTTTGTGTGTTGTGTGTTGTGTGTGTGTGCCTGTGGGCCGGGGGGATTAGCCATATTAGCCATGTTAGATAGACACATGTGGCCGGCACAGATGCTGTGGAAACTCAATCTGTACAGTTGGAACGATTGGGGTCAGTAGCACCAGCTGTGTGTGTGTGTGTGTGTGTGTGTGTGTGTGTGTGTGTGTGTGTGTGTGTGTGTGTGTGTGTGTGTGTGTGTGTGTGTGTGTGTGTGTGTGTGTGTGTGTGTGTGTGTGTGTGTGTGTGTAAACCTGCTGCTATAACTAAGGCATATAAGGCTCCCTGTATCGTGGCCAGGATCCAGTCTCAGGAATTCAGGATGACGTCCAGCTCCAGCCGTTGTTTTGTTAGCTATGTAACAGGGAACAGAAGGGACACGGAGCTTTATTTTGAAAACGGTCAAAATGCCCATAACTCCTTAAATATTCAAACTATGTTGAACTATTTTAGGTCCCTGATTTGTTCCAGATGAGCATGGCAACAATAAATCAAAAAATATAAAAATAAACAGAGTAAACATCAGGTACCATGGCAACAAGATACAAGTTATAATCTCCATCATGAGATATTAAGACCCAATGATTAATGATGTTTATTTTACTGGTGGAAAGAATTGAGCTGTATTTCCCTTCGTATTGAAGGACGTGGTTTCAATAGTTTGACACTTGGCGCCCTTTGGATCACTGATCTTTAACTCTATATATCACTCTATATATGTCATATTAATCATAACATTTGAATTTAGCATTATGAAGCTATATTTGTGTCCCTCTACCTTCCAGTTGTATTCGTACAGCAGAACTGTACCAATGACCTTCTGGGTCGTTTTAATGACCTGACACAGAGTCCTCCCAGTGCACATCCCATGTTGCCAGTTTGTGATGTTTCCTGTCAGGATGCTTTCTATCACACCTCTGTAGACGTTAACTAGAACTTGGCCCAGGAATCTGGTAAGCAGGGTGGAGATATGAGATGACAATGATTCCCAGGAACCTAAAACCGTTCACCTGCTCCACCTCAGCTCCACTGGTGTAAACAGAAATGTGTGTCTATGCCTTAAATCGTTGAGCAGTAGTTTGTTTTCTGTGCATCACTCTGCAAGATTGTTGATTTCCTCCCGATAGGAAGTTTAATCTTTGTTTGAAATCCGGCCGGTGGTGGTGGTGTCATCTGTGAAACTAAACAACAGAGTTACACCAAAAGTGCTTCAGCTTTCAAGATACTGGAAGGAGAACAAAGCACAACAATGCTTTTTATCTTCTCCAAGGTCTCCACTATATGAAATGGATTCTTGTATAAAAATATTTTACTGCTAATTGCATTTTGTGGCACACCCATTAAATAAGTGCAAAATAAAGGCATCTGAAATGGGAGATGACTCACCTGAACTCATGTAATTTCATAATACAAGCTCTGATTGATTCCACATTTGGTGTGGAGGTGGGCAGGAGGTTCCTCTACATATCTGGAAAACATAATGTGAATATTTTGATGCATTGAGGAAATTCAGGACATACAAACACAGAAGCACCATAGGCGGAAATATATAAACTTTTAGAATCTATGATGAATGTATTTACTTTAAGGTAGGTTTGGATGGGATTGTGCAGTCAGGTCTGACTGTGCTGAATCCAGCAATATATGATATCTAACTGTAGCAGGAATGGTCAGTGGTCTACATTAAGAAATGTATGACGTGTGCCATCAAAATGAAATGGCCATAAATGGCTTTTCTGTGTAGTCTTGCAGCTTTTCTCACTCAAGGACACTTTGCCTGTTGCGGAATCAACCCTGCGACCTTCCCTTTACAAGATCATTATTATTTCATCTTATTCACCATCAGCTCATCCTGCTGGCCACATTTCAAACAGCTCTTTGAGTAAACCAGAGCTCTTATTTCACACCCAGTTCCTGTGGTCACATCGGCTGTTTCAGTTGTAACGCCCTCAGATTTCACATTTCTGCTGCCACACAGCAATAAATCTGCTCCGAACTGAAGGAAATGAGAGCATTTTTCTGTCATAGCCTCGGTATTAAGTGGAATGTGCTGTAGGTTGAGTCGAAGAGGAGAAATGTGTGGGACTCTGTGAATATTTCTCTGCTTTCTCATGTGTCATTGCGACTCCTGTTTATGGAAGATGACATTTTTGAAAGAAAAGGAAAGTCTTCCACCCAGACGGCTTCTCCTTTCAGCCGTAAAACGACGGAGAACTCTGCCGCCACCCTCACTCATTATACTGTGGTGAGGAGTGGAAAAGAAAACTCTTTTAAAGCAAAGTTCACTTCTCGAGAAGGCTCTCAAGTCTTTGGAAGGTCAGTGTGACGTCTCAGCCGCCCAATTATTCTGGATTCAAAACCGGCAGGAAAAGTTGCCCAACGTGTCCTTCAGTTGTGTTTCTTAATCATCTGTCCACTTTGATCTCCTCTCAGCTGTCGTTGTACCGCACTCTGAGTCTGACACGAGGCTTTCTTCTTTTGCGGTGGTCTGTAATATTAATGGTCGCAGCCATGTTTGATTTGGGCCGAGGCCTGAAGTGTGGACAGCGAGGCATCGGGGTTAAGGGAGTTTCTGTGTTCCCACATTTCAGCGCTCCTCAACACGTTGCGCTTTGTAGGAGTCCATTAGCAACAGTCGTGTGGCGGCTATCGAAAGAGTAGAAAGAAAGAGGCAGGGAGGGAGATGAGACAGAAAAGGGAAGAAAGAGAAGGAGATGATCAAAAACAGAAGTACAAAGGGAGAAAGAAGGGAAAGAGAGACGTTTCTGAACCATATTCTGCTGACTAAACCTCAGGAGTGAAAGAGTTTTCTTGTACCAAACAGAGAAGAGAGAGAGAGAGAGAGAGAGAGAGAGAGAGAGAGAGCTTGAAGAAAAAAAAAAGCTGCAGAGAGACTGAGAGAAACAAAGTTTTAAAGGGCCGCACTCCTCTCAGATTAAAACCACATTGTTTTAGCAGCACACGCTGGTATTTCCTCTCGGTCAGGCTGCTGGGTGGAGCACCGGGGGAACGCGAGTGCCTTGCCAAGCAGCACTGCAGCTGACTCTCGGCAGCACATGGAATTACCTCTGCTGCTCTCAGCATGCCGGGGCAAGAGAGGGGCCAGGATATTTGAGAGGAGAAAGGCATCACCAGTCGTTAGGTCCCGGAGGGTTGAAGGGTGCGCTGGTCGACTTTCTCAGGCTCCGAGTGTCGACTGGGATGAAATGCAAGTAAAGTTTTGGCAACTTCAGGATTATAAGGAGCGCTGACAAGCAGGCGAGTCACAGTTTGCGGCAGTGCTTTGGATAAAATGGCTTCAGTAGCGTCACAAACGGTTTAATGCTGCAGTCTTGTGAAAACTTTTAATCTCTTAACTGTTCAGGTAAAAAAAGAACTGATTTGGTGATTTGCAGGTCAAAAGATGTCTGAGATCTAGCTGAATATACTAAATTTGCTAACTAACTCTATTTCAGCTGCAGTGGTTTGCAGTTTAATGCACACTGCTGAAGGAATATGTAAATATAAGAGTTATTCTCAATCAGCAGTGATTCAGGGATTTGCCAATGAAAACATGTCCAGAGATGTTGGTGAAAATTGGACTGAATTTTGAGTGAGAAAGGAAACCTTTTTTGAGTGACCTTGGAAACTGAGGTTTTACCTCAGAACTGTCTTAACTTTAAACTAAGTAAACTCAGTCTGCTATTTAGGACATGTATGGTACATTTATCCATTATTTCAACAGTTTTTAAATGCTTATATTTCATTTTGGAGCACCTAGAAACATAGACAAACTGGAATCTGCAACTCAATAAAACAGCAAGAAATACTTTTATTAACCTTAAAACAGTCATTTGTTGTTTTTTTGAAGCTGTGAGACTACAGATTGTGGATTGCTTTTGTATATTTATCAGTCGCTCTGGGAAGTTACTAACGCAAATTCAACCAATTCCTGTGAATTCTGTGCTATCACCGTAATCTAAACGCAATTTTAAACAATCACCAGAGTTTCCAAGTTTCCCCAAGTTGAGCCATACGTCACCGAACTACGAATGATTATTCTAACTGGAACGAGTTGCCTTAGATTGTTAATGAGGAAATATATGACTTCTGTCGGACGAAAATGTAGTAAAGGAAGTGACAGGAAGTGTCACAGTTACTACCCAGAATGCCATTTGGCAGCGAGCAGCATGGCAGCGATTTCTGGCCCGAGATGCTTTTTTTTCCAGCGGGCAGTAGGGAGAAGCCGGTCGTATCTGGGATCTGGGTGTGAAAGGCGAATGCAGTGTGATGGTTTTAAACTGGATTATATACTCATCTGTCTGCATATGTGTGTGTGTTGTACTGTATATAATCTACTGGGGATTAAACGCACTGTACTCAAGCCAGCAGAAGAGTTAGCGGACAGTGACGTTCTAAACCCAGTGAAACCAAAACAGCGATATAATCGAAGAAAACTGGCAGCGGTTTTCCAACCGTTCGCTCAACCCTCGCCAACGGGCTTATGATTGGTTTAACCTGTACTTATTGAAGCTTTATTTATCCACTGAAAGCTAACTGAGCACACATGTTCTTCTGCAGCAACGCCCTGCTTCATAGCTCACACGTTCCCTTGACCACTCGTCTGCTGGTGACTTCTGAGCTTCTCAACCGGAGCAAATGGGGCTCTGTTTATTGTTTAAACACTCCATTAAGGGACGGTAGCTGCTGGGAGACTCAATAGTCTCTTTCCCCACCCAAACTGCCTGACCACTTGTAGATGTTTGAACTTATAAACTTTGCTTTTCTAGACTTAACACCTGATTGGCACATTTAGTCATCTCAGTCAAATCAGAAGACGTGTATTGTCGGTGGCACTCGCTCTTTCCACTGATGTTTTCCAATTTATAGGGTCAGATTAGGCCTCATAATCATAACATTTAGACATTTTCTTCAGTATCAAAGTTATCTTGTCTGTCCATTAATGATTTAACAGGAACTGCTTGTAGCTAATGCATATATAATACTGTATAAACATCTTGCTTCAACATAGCGGTCTGGAAAACACAATCCTATTTTGGTGATTATACTCTGGATGCTAAAACATTCCTATAAATATATATTATATTCAGTTTCGGCCAAAAACTCCTCCTAAATTGAAACACCCTAACTTATGCTAAAAATAACAAAAATATATTTTCCACTGTAAATAAAATGAGCAAAGTTAAATCAGCCAACAGCTCAACAGGCTTATTTTTAATTCTGTCGCCTGTTACCGCAGAGACAAAACATAAACTCAGGCATCATATATACCCAGTGAGAGAGTCTTGTAGCTGCTGCACTGCACCTCTCTGTGCAGTGTTGTACATTTCCTGGCTAACACAGCTGCTCAGCCGCTCTGTTCCCCCCCCTGAGATCAGTCAGCTACACTGAGAGCCAAAGACTGGGTCACCACTTCCTCCTCCTCTTCCTCCTCCTCATTTTCTCCAGATTGCAGCTGGCGGATGTAATTGAATTAAGGAGGAAGCTTTGTATTATGGATGTGGACGCAGTAGAAAAGATGCAAAGGAAACAGGGTACCTGTTGGTGTTTCTGATTGGTCTTTGATTTAGTGGCAACAGTTGGGGATTGTACAACTTCAACAACAGTCTTCTGTAATGGTCTCCATTTATGCTGGGAAAGGATTTGCCGACAACATCCGCGCTGTTGTTCGGCCTCACAGTCAGACAGTATAGATAATACACATCTGGGAGCTGCCCAGTACAACAGCTGTCTGTCTGCCAACTCAACATGTCTGCCAAAGCAAATAGGAGTTCAAGTGTTTTACTCAAAGAAGTTTTTATAGGCAGCGAGGAGGGCTTCTTTGTCTGCTTTCACTGTCCAAATCTGTTCAGTCTTTTACCTCGAGGCCAAACTCTCAGGCACTCAACACTGAGGTCACACCCAAAGACATCACTCCTGTCACTTCAATTTAAAGTCGGTTTTATTTTTCGTCCCTGAAAGCTTGCTGTAGTTGGAGAATACTCCAGTGAATATCCATCTTTTGGGCATCATTTACTCGACACTAGTTGGCTTGAAAGGAGACTTTTGAAAGGGATTGTGAGGTTATGTAGTCGTACCGTTTGTCTTCTGCGATCAATACAGGAAGGAACAGTTGATTAGGAGTCAGGTGTTTGATTGTCTCTCCAGGAAAGATACGACTGTAAAGTGACTGTAAAGTGTCTGTAAAGATGTTTTAGCTTTGTGGAGAATCCATTTTGTCCACAGTTTGTGTTTAGTGATCAATAAACACGCCAAGAAAAACTAAAAAAGGAAAATTTGGACTGTTTTCATTTCACTGGAAATGATGCAATGTTACAAAACCTTTTGGACGTTTATGCTACTTCTGCTGTTGAATGGTATGTTCTTCTCTTCACCAATAAATGATTTAAGACGCTACTTCCAGCAGAGATTCAGAGCTATGAGGAGGTGATATTGAGGTAGCTAGAAGAAGGTGCATTACTGCCGTCAATGTACTTTACAATCAGTTAATCAACCTCAAGCTCTTAGAGAACCACACACTAATCTTCTTCCGTCCTCGGTGCCTCTCTCTGTCAAGTAAGGTGATGTATGTAGTTAAAAAACAATCTTGGGAAATAAAGGGAAGTTAAATGTGACCAAAATGGATCACCTAGCAATCAAGTATTTTTTTTTTATATTCTCCGGAACCAAACTGTCCCAAAGCAGAAAGAAAGAGCCCTTTTTGTTGGAGGCAACGTAAGAAAACATGTTTAAAAGTCGTTGTCTGTGTTTTTTTGGCACACAAAGAACCAGTTGGGGTTTCTTGTCAGATACTACGGTTACATAAAGCAAATTAAACCCAACCTTTTATCTCCTTCAATAGAAAATTGCTCTGACTTGTGAGGCGGCATCATATTCCTCTAAGTGACCCAGGCGAGAGCGTGTGGGCTCCATTCACACATGGTGCATTTTGGGAAGTGTGCGTCTATTTTGAGTCTGTGTGGTCGCTCCTGTGGGTTCCCTCTAAGTAGCTTTTAGCAGGGTTTGATAAGGCTTCCACACACACTCACTCTGTTAAACCCAATAGTCTTACAGGGCATTAAACCCCCATTTTCATTTTCTCTAAAGCAGCTTTTGTTTGAAGGCGTGCGAAATGCAGCAGGCTCCCCTGATAACAGCGTACTTTGTAGGTTATCGACTGGCAGAGGTCTGTGCTGAAGTGATCTGTATCGGATCTTTACTGCGATGGGGCGCATACTTTCTCACATGCCAGCTCCTATTGGGTTATATCTTTAATCTTTGTTCACCTAAAGAGCTTTCAAGTGGTTTCTTTCTTCATTGTTGATGGCTGAGGATGGATTTGGAGATTATTTGTCATCATGTAGGCTAAAGGAAAGGGGAGAGGGCAGCGTGGAGGAACAGGCAGGTTCGTCTTTTATCCGGACAAGCTGGATTTTACTGCCCACTTTTCTGCCCCGGTGAAGCATTTGATGTACGAGAGACTGGATCCTTTCCAGCTTCTGGATTAGAGAAAGAATGGTGACCAATAAAATATCACATCAAGCAAATAAAAGTGATTTAATACTTCCAATTTATGACTAATACATTGTGTTATTAAGCATTTATCAATAGTTTATACACGTGTACACATCAAAATCAAACTACTGAAGACATATTTATTATTATAGTACTGCAAATAGAATTCATTAACTTTTAGTTGTTAACAAACATTAATAAACGCTGAATAATGTCCTTAAATCTACTTATAACTACAAGAAACAGGAACATTTTACACAATTTAAAAACAAGCACACAAAAATATTTTAAATAAGAATAAAAAAAGGCAGCTCTGACAAAAAATATCATCATTTCACCTGGATCGCCCCTTATACACTGTATTTAATCTTCGTCAACAGTAGTGCGTCTAAGTTGTGAGCTCGCATTTTCTGTTGGGTGCAATGTGCATTAGTTTCTGTTTTAGAGATTAAATATTAAAGTCGGCAAGGACTGTCTATAAATACCTTAAAAACCTTTAGAAATTAGCGATGCTCTGATACGATACCAGTATTGGGTATCCAGTCCCATACTGTGCTTATAATTGTACGAATAAAACTACTCCGATACCACTTTATGGCAGCGTGACGTTACGTAACCTCTCCTTAGTTTAGCAGGGAGGCGGAGGAGAAGCAACGTCAGCAGATATTTTAAGCAACGACATTAACAAGATTTAATGTGTTACAGTCAGAGAGT